TTCTGTTTAAAGTACAGTAAATATAGCAGGGTATACGCCTTCTGTTTAAAGTACAGTAAAACAGTAGCAGGTTAGAGGCCTTCTGTTTAAAGTACAGTAAATATAGCAGGGTATACGCCTTCTGTTTAAAGTACAGTAAAACAGTAGCAGGTTAGAGGCCTTCTGTTTAAAGTACAGTAAATATAGCAGGGTATACGCCTTCTGTTTAAAGTACAGTAAAACAGTAGCAGGTTAGAGGCCTTCTGTTTAAAGTACAGTAAATATAGCAGGGTATACGCCTTCTGTTTAAAGTACAGTAAAACAGTAGCAGGTTAGAGGCCTTCTGTTTAAAGTACAGTAAATATAGCAGGGTATACGCCTTCTGTTTAAAGTACAGTAAAACAGTAGCAGGTTAGAGGCCTTCTGTTTAAAGTACAGTAAATATAGCAGGGTATACGCCTTCTGTTTAAAGTACAGTAAAACAGTAGCAGGTTAGAGGCCTTCTGTTTAAAGTACAGTAAATATAGCAGGGTATACGCCTTCTGTTTAAAGTACAGTAAAACAGTAGCAGGTTAGAGGCCTTCTGTTTAAAGTACAGTAAATATAGCAGGGTATACGCCTTCTGTTTAAAGTACAGTAAAACAGTAGCAGGTTAGAGGCCTTCTGTTTAAAGTACAGTAAATATAGCAGGGTATACGCCTTCTGTTTAAAGTACAGTAAAACAGTAGCAGGTTAGAGGCCTTCTGTTTAAAGTACAGTAAATATAGCAGGGTATACGCCTTCTGTTTAAAGTACAGTAAAACAGTAGCAGGTTAGAGGCCTTCTGTTTAAAGTACAGTAAATATAGCAGGGTATACGCCTTCTGTTTAAAGTACAGTAAAACAGTAGCAGGTTAGAGGCCTTCTGTTTAAAGTACAGTAAATATAGCAGGGTATACGCCTTCTGTTTAAAGTACAGTAAAACAGTAGCAGGTTAGAGGCCTTCTGTTTAAAGTACAGTAAATATAGCAGGGTATACGCCTTCTGTTTAAAGTACAGTAAAACAGTAGCAGGTTAGAGGCCTTCTGTTTAAAGTACAGTAAATATAGCAGGGTATACGCCTTCTGTTTAAAGTACAGTAAAACAGTAGCAGGTTAGAGGCCTTCTGTTTAAAGTACAGTAAATATAGCAGGGTATACGCCTTCTGTTTAAAGTACAGTAAAACAGTAGCAGGTTAGAGGCCTTCTGTTTAAAGTACAGTAAATATAGCAGGGTATACGCCTTCTGTTTAAAGTACAGTAAAACAGTAGCAGGTTAGAGGCCTTCTGTTTAAAGTACAGTAAATATAGCAGGGTATACGCCTTCTGTTTAAAGTACAGTAAAACAGTAGCAGGTTAGAGGCCTTCTGTTTAAAGTACAGTAAATATAGCAGGGTATACGCCTTCTGTTTAAAGTACAGTAAAACAGTAGCAGGTTAGAGGCCTTCTGTTTAAAGTACAGTAAATATAGCAGGGTATACGCCTTCTGTTTAAAGTACAGTAAAACAGTAGCAGGTTAGAGGCCTTCTGTTTAAAGTACAGTAAATATAGCAGGGTATACGCCTTCTGTTTAAAGTACAGTAAAACAGTAGCAGGTTAGAGGCCTTCTGTTTAAAGTACAGTAAATATAGCAGGGTATACGCCTTCTGTTTAAAGTACAGTAAAACAGTAGCAGGTTAGAGGCCTTCTGTTTAAAGTACAGTAAATATAGCAGGGTATACGCCTTCTGTTTAAAGTACAGTAAAACAGTAGCAGGTTAGAGGCCTTCTGTTTAAAGTACAGTAAATATAGCAGGGTATACGCCTTCTGTTTAAAGTACAGTAAAACAGTAGCAGGTTAGAGGCCTTCTGTTTAAAGTACAGTAAATATAGCAGGGTATACGCCTTCTGTTTAAAGTACAGTAAAACAGTAGCAGGTTAGAGGCCTTCTGTTTAAAGTACAGTAAATATAGCAGGGTATACGCCATTTCCTCCCTGTACAACCACCAGGGGTGCCATGCCCTGTGTTGCACTTTGTAGCATCTGTCTAGATAAGCCACTCTTTAATATAGGCTTCCATTCTCCACGTGGAGATCGTGGGGAAGATGGCTGTGTGTGTATGAACTGCACCCTGCAATCTGTGCTAGACGGTGCAGCTTGCACTGGAACAACAGTGCCACTCGGAGAAATAACTTCAACTGGCATTTGTGACTTGCATGAACTGGCTGAAGGAGACTGAAAACACTTGAAATTCCCTAAAAAGCATGTACAATCAGCAATAAAACCCTCCGCCTGTTTTAATCTTGCTTCAACTTTTTCTTGTCAAAAAAGTACAGTTACTGAATTGCTGTCTAACTTTCTCAGTGGCAAGAGAGGCTTGCTTCAAAAATAGTCCTATTGCATCCCCTTGTGGGGCAAGACTGTCACTATCCCCAAACATCTCTCTATTTTGCATTTGCAGGACCCAATCAATAAACCGGTTTTTCACATTATCCTGGGGCCTATTTCAAGAAGGCAGTTTTGTCGAAACTCAGAGTTTGTTAACCCCGAAATGAGGGAAACTCGGAGTTTTCGGTTTCAGAAACGGAGGTAACTTAAACCCATGAAAGCGGGGTAAGTTAAACCCGTTTCACAAAGAGAGGTAATCTAAACTCAGAGTCAGTTACTATGGCAACTTACTCTGTGAACCTAACCTGCTGGGGAGCAGGTTTTGTTCGGGAAACTCAGAGTTTCCTCCGGGTCTCCGCCCCTTTTTAAAGTGAAAGGTGTTTAATACCTCATTTAATCTTTCAGTACATTCATAGATTGCACACGTTTCCGTCACGCAGAAATCAAAATGGCGTGTCCATTCATAGAGGATCCTGTAGATGAGGAGGCTGTATTAATTCGCAGGGAATTGCATTTACGTCGGGAGAGGATATTGAGGCCACGAGTTGATTTTTTTTGTCATATCCCCATGT